TGCCAGCCTGGAGGGGTTGTGCAGATTTTAGGGGTGATGCAGGGTCTGAAATATGTGTCATTGTTCTGGATCAATCCAAAACTAAACATTTCCCAATGCTCCTGGAGAATCAAAGATTGAAAGCATCATTAGCACAACGTTTCATTTGGTCCAAAGCAAAATATCCCATTTTCACTTGTTTTCCAGCTCACAAAACACAACAAACACAATCAGCTTGTAAATATCATCATCTAAACATCTTTCAAAATAAAACCCAGCATTTCATTTTGCAAAAGACGCACCCAAGGGCCTAGGTTTGCTGGGGTGGGGACAGCTTATGGGACTGTTTAAACAATTCACAGAACTCATCTCTCTTTCTCCACACAAAAAAAAAAAAAAAAAAAAAAAAATTTCAAACCTGTGTCCAGCTCCCATGTGTGCTCATGTGTGCACATCTGGAAACACGTGTCTTTATGGGCATGTATACAGGTGCAAGGGAGAGCAAGGTGAGAAAGCAAAGCCAAGAGCCAGGACAGCTCTACTGAAGCTCATTTACACCAGTAAGAATTTTGTCCTCATTTCATTGTGCCACCCCAGCCTTTTGGTCCTTTAGCCTTTCTGCTATCTCCAGATCTCCCCGCTGTGGGAACCCTCTCTCTGCTCCACTATTAGCACGTAACAACCATTACAGCACGAAAGCAAAATGCCCCGTCCAACCAAGCATGACGGGGAGCCAGCCCAGGAATGAACGGCCCTGGGGAGGAGAAAGGGAGCTTCTGTGCCGGCTAACGTGGGAGGAGGATGCTCTCTCTATGCCCAGCCCTGGCCTGAGGACAGCCAGGGTTGCTGGGCTCCCAGGGCAGCACCCGGCGCCAAGGGTTCTGCACGGCGAGGGATGGGGTCAGACGGGAGCGTGGCCTCGGCTTCCCTGCCGCTACTGATGGAGTGACAGAGCCCATGGCCCCTGCGTTACTGGCTACACCAAAGACAGGAGAGCAGGGAGAAAACGGGCAGTTTTGCCTTTTTTTTTGAAGCACCAAACTGGCCCCTAGGAGAAAGCAGCTGGGAGGATCAGTGGGAAAGGTCCTCTCCTTCCCGTGAGGAACAGACGGTATTTCTCTCATCACGCATCGTTCCCAAGTGTCTCCAGAGCACACAAAGGGACAAATCGCACACCCCAGCACGCCCTAGCCGGGCTGACCCCACGGGGGTCCCAGCCTGCTGACACTGGGACAGCACTCACTGGCTTTGCAGCAATTTCAGCACTTGTACAGGGCTGGGATCAGAGGGGGAAGAGCTGCTCCAGCCCGAGCTGGTGGAAGGATTTGCTGTACCAACGTCTGCCCTTGGACAGAGCAGCTCAGCGGCAGCAGTCACATTTTCTCAGGTGCTCGGAGCAGAGACCTTCCTCCAGACCTGGGTGGGACGAAACACAACCCCCATTAAGGCACGATCTTGGGCTGTATGTCCACCTTGCTCCAAGAGCAGAGGGTCAGAGAAACGTCATCCCCTGGGTTTAGCTCTTTTACAACATCAAAAAATGGAGGATTTGAGACATCAGAAGAGGAGCCATGGAGATGGTCCAAGGGCTGGAGCAGCTCCCGTGCGAGGACAGGCTGAGAGAGTTGGGGGTGTGCAGCCTGGAGAAGAGAAGGCTCCGGGGAGACCTTCCAGCAGCTTCCAGTGCTGAAAGGGGGCTACAGGAGAGATGGGGGGGCTCTGGATCAGGGGGTGCAGGGACAGGACGAGGGGGAACG